AGCGAATCGACAGGTTCTAGGGTGAAAAGAAAGAAATAATGTTAGGGGAGAGAGATTAAAGAATTAGATTGATCCGATCTTATCTTGTTATTCTGTACTAGTAGTCTGCTCTGTGTAATCTGCTCTTCTTTCTATCTAGTATTCCTATTACTAGTATTTATACTTAGCTAGTAGTAATAGAGTACGTTGTATACACGTAATCTTTATTTATCTCTTATGCTACTAATACACTCGTGATACACTAGTAGTATAATAGTATAGATCGCTAGGGTATAGTAATCTAGTTAATTAATAGATCGATCTTATTAGAGATTAGCTGAGTAGCTTATATCTCTAACACGCCCCTTTAAGCTAGGCAGCTAAGATCTAAGATATATCTATTAGATTTGATTGTGATAGAAAATCTCGAATGTTTTAAAACCTTTTTAAGCTTGTTTTTCTAATAAAGCTAAAGGGTTGGTGTAATAGATATATCTTATTATTCTAATTAATAGATTTCGCTTAATTAAGCTGTTCTGATGGATCTGATTGTTCGGATAGATTCAATATATTAGATGGTTAATTCAGCTAGTCTGATTAATTGATTAGTTGTACTAAGTTATTGATCTCTGTATGGATCTGATTAGTTTAATAGATATCGCTGATTATAGTAAAGATCGCGATCTTTTAAGCGTATTGTCCCTTAGCTAGTATCTTACTAGAATGAGTAATTAGACTATAGTTCTTAGTAAATTAGAATTCTGCTCCTTTTTGAACTGCTTAATAGAGACTTAATAGATTAACTCGAAAGTCTAGTACAAGGAGAACATCTTTCAGCACTACTAATCTACTAGTGCTAGTGAACGTGATTAGTACTTCTGCTTTAGCTATTGCTAGTAGTAGTATTCCTATATTGCCTTATTTGATATAGGTGTTAGATACACTAGTAAGATTCCGGAATAGAGTTCGATCGCAGCAGATATGCGCACTAGCTCTACTATCTAGTATCTACTTGATGGATTTGGTAGATTGGATGGATCTAGTTTTGATGGATTTGTTGGTATTAATATTAGCGATATTTTGGTCTACTGATACAATCGTAGATAGCGCTTCTTCTGATCTGAATGAGCTCTGGTTGGTGCGCTTGGATGGATCTTTTTGCTAATATTGATTAACTAGATGCCTATTTCTTCTGCAGTAGCTGCAGTGCTTCGAGCTTCTGTTAGATTTCTAAGTTGATAAGGACATTTCTATATTCTTGGATTAATGAGATCGATGAGATTAATCGAATCTATGATCGGATCGATGGGATGGATCTGATTGATGGAATGGATTGGATCGATAAGATTCGATATAGCTCCTTTGGATCGAGCTGTTTAAGCTGCTAGAGCTATTCTTAATAGATCTAAGACGTCTAGATTCGTTAATAATCTGGCTGCACATTATTTTAAGATTAATTTCTTTATTTGATCTAAAGTCTTGCGTGATCGCGGTAATAAGATAATTAAATTCTAAACTTAAATTGTTAAGTATCAGCGCAGTAATGAATCGATCGGGCAGTTCGATTTTGCGAGCTTTTAAGCTTAGAGTAAGCCTTAGTAGCTTTTAAAGATAGGTTTCAACGTTATTTTGGCAGCTAGCGAGTGTAGTGTTAATTAGATCTTTGTAGATTAAGAAATCAGAGCTAAACCCTTTCTAAGAGTATAGAGTTTCGAGATTACTCTATAGCTCTACTAGGCTAGTGTACTCCTTCGTCTGAAGTAGTAGTCTATCTTCGAGACTTAGTCTAATCGTAGCTAGCGCCTTCGATTCCTTTTCTTTCAATTTGTTAAACGTATCTGGATATTAATCTAATGTAAGATTAGATAGATCTATATTCATCACATTAGCATAATCTTGCTGAATAAGAATAGATCGAATCCGCAGTGCCCATATGTCAAAATTTGAGCTCCCTTTAAGCTTTGGTACTTTAAAGATACTATTAGCCATTTTAATCTATTATTCTAGATCGGCTAATAAGCTCGTGTGTATGCTAATGCTATCGCAGTTACTATTCTTTCTATAAAGAACTCTAGCTGCTCATTAATATAGATCGATATATTGCAATCAGCTGATCTAGCTTTAGATAAACCTAGTATCTTGAGTTTTTCAGCTTCTTTAGCCGTAGTTATCTCTTAACCCTTATTATTACCCTAGCTCTTGCTAAGAATCTAGCCTAAATAGTACTAGTTCTTATATGAACGCTAAGTCTTTTATAGTAGACTTTGCTAGAACCTTCGAATAAACGCGTAATCTGGGCTTATAATCTATTAGAATAAGAAGGGTGCTACTTATTCTATAGATAGCTTAGAGGTAGAGTCGTCTACTTATCTAGCGATAGACTTAGAGGTAGCGAATTAATAGGTTCTAGAGTGAAAAGAAAAAAATAATGCTAGGGGAGAGAGATTGAAGAATTAGATTAATCTGATCTTATCTTGTTATTCTGCACTAGTAGTCTGCTCTGTGCAATCTACTCTTCTTTCTATCTAGTATTCCTATCACTAGTATTTATACTTAGCTAGTAGCGATAGATTACGTTGTATACACGTAATCTTTATTTATCTCTTACGCTACTAATACACTTATGATACACTAGTAGTATGATAGTATAGATCGCTAGAGTATAGCGATCTAGTTGATTAATAGATCGATCTTATTAGAGATTAGCTGAGTAGCTTATATCTCTAATAGTAAGAACTTCGTTACTCTACAGCTTAGCGTTTTTCTAGGTTAGTTTATATACTTAATTAACTAAGCTAGCTATCTACCTATAAAGATCTCTTATAGTTGTTACTAATATTAAATTCTACTTATCTTTATCTTTATCTTCTTTATATACATAGTAATAAAGGCTCTAGAAATTTGTAAGTTAGTAGCTCACTAGCTTTCTTCTCCAAGATAGTTTAGTTCTATAATTAGACTAATTTCTAGAGTAGTTTTATAGAACTACAAGGTTTTAGCAGGTTAACTGTTAGTAATTACCTCTAAGATTTATAGATTATTTATAGACTCTAAGTCTCTATTATAGTGCACTCTTTATAACTTTTACTAAAGTAATCTATCTTATAAGAACTATAGAAGTTCTAAATCTAAAGTCTTTAGCTAATAGAAGATTAGTAGATTTCTACTTAGATATATATAGGATGTAATAGTAAAAGTCTAGATTAACTCTAGATTTTAGAGAATTAACGTAGTCTTTAACAGATAGCTATAATATTTTTTAATGGTTTTACTTGTAGTAGTAAGAATTCTTATGTAATATAATAGCGTAGATAAGACTATTTAGATTAGTAGTAGTAGTAGTAGTAGTAGTATTACTTAGTAGTATATAAGAGTGGGTATGATATTAAATAAGTCTTAATTTAATTGGACACCGATAGTCCTTATATAAAAGGATACTAAAAGTTTATAGAGCTAGCTATAGAGAGTATCTTCTTATATACTTATCTTAGTTAAATCTAAATCAGATCCGACCTTATAACGAGTAGTTAGTAAAGAGAGCGGCGAATACTACCTCTAATTCAGCTCTAGGATTAGTCTAATACTTTGCAAAGTTGTAACATCGTTACAATTACCCTTGATAGCTACTTTGGAACAACCTTATAATATAGCTAGTTTTCGCTTCTATACCTTTTAGAATCACTACTATGTTATATATTCTATTATTCTATTTTCATAGATTGCGGGGCTGATAAGAAAGTCATAGATAGTAATATTAACAAACTTACGACGTTACTAGACAACCTGCCTCTCGCATTCGCACAAACAGCCACATAGATCTAGTATCTTGCCACGTAATACTTAGTGCAGCAATAGATTAAAAAGCTTCGTTAGAGCGATAGTACAACGACAAGTCCACTGAAACCAGACAACTAGTCCTATATGGAAACATAAGGCAGCCGGCAATGCTATCTATATAACGTAACAAATTTAATTCGATTATATGTATTTAATGCACCAGACAGTTAGAGACAGACCTATGATCACCTATGCGTCTCTTTGACCAGTAGGGCATACAGTCGAGCTTGTACAGAATTTTAGAGACCATTTATCACTTTTGTCTACTGATTTACTTTACCCAGCTTGACTACTCCTCCATGGAAATGTTATACCGTGTTTCTACGACGAAGGTTCCGTCTCAGTTGGCCACAAGCAGCAATATCTGTTTTATAAGAGTATTTTCTTAGACTTGAATCTTTACAGCCTGAGAAGCAATGTTCTTCCAAGTACGGGCTATACTGTACTACGATCAAGGCAACTACAGTAAAGACCGCATAAACGCTGACTCGAAACTATACCAATATCCTGACTCTCCTAGTCGCCCGCGACGATATAAGAAGTGATCATAGGGTGCCAAATGCGCATTCTAGTTCACTGGGCTGGGTTGGAGTAATACACGCTATCAGGATTTTGAGTCTCGTCAGGGGTTTTACTATGGGCTGAATAACCCAGTATGTCGATTGCTTGCATATCCTATCAAGGTGGGATTGAGTTCATTGTTACAACGGAATACGATAGCGATGCATGAATCTCGGGTATTACTTCGTGTTTTGCCAGGTGTTGCTCAATGCATCCATGGGCAAACAAACGGTGTGACTGTTCTTGGTTAGCCTGCTACTGGTTTGGCATTAGTCCCGGTCCCACTACGTATTGATCTGCAATTTGGTGAGCTTAATAGGCTTTGAGTGGAGAGGACATTCGTAAAACTTATTAGTGGGTTTAGAATATGTAACGCTGCAGTGGCAATGCGCTGACATCACTCGAATTCTCCCTAACAAACAGGCCTGGTCATCTCATGTGCACATGGGCCGCCAGCAGCCGGATGTTTCAATGATCGAGTCATTGGTCACGAAGAGCACAGGTCCTCTATCCACCTGTCACTAAAAATATACTATTAGGGCCGACTTGTTATTACCGCAAAGAGTATGTGCACGTCCATACATTTGCGTATATAACCATTGGTGGTGACCTCCAAGCTCATCACCGTACAACAGCTTGTCAAATCTAATCATAACCCTAATTCAATCTACACTCGCTCAAATTACACGATGAAGTTTCTTGCCGCCGCCACGCTCTTCGGCTTTGCTGCCGCTGCCGTTGAGACCGTCACCATCTCCCACTTCCTCTACGTTGGCGTCAATGGCTACCCCCAAATCTCCTTTAAACTCTCTGTTGATGGAGTGAGCTGCGCAGCTGATCACTACACCGTCGATTCACTGGGCAACCCATGCGATAAGCCTGAGTGGACTTTCGACATCCTTGAGGAACAAGGTCGCAAGATTCGCTTGCATCACACTGTTGACGGGTATGTCAAAACACAAGTGTTCAAAATTTGATTAGTAGTTACTAACAGGATATCAGGGTCACTCACACTGGTGATTTCGCTATTGGCCTGAACGGTCCTATCCCTACCGTACTCGAACAGATTGGTACTTCCACCGCCGACCTGGACAGGATCACATCCTAGAAAGTTATGAACTCTCCATATAGTATTATAATGACAATTCATTATCCTTATACCACGCATTTTTTCACAATGTTTTTTGAAGTGAAGCCTTGCCAATGGTAGCTGCCAAAGCGTTCAAAGCCTACAGCTGTTTCTCTGTGTCCTTACGCCCCGTTGGCGGACTATATTGAAGACCTTGCTTCTGCTATTCTAATCGCCGTTCAGATCATGCTAAAGCGCGTTGAGTGTTAGTGACATTGCGAATCCGCGGATTCTATCTAGACTGGCGCTGATTGGTCGGAAGTTTCGTCCGTTGCCGCCAAGCCTAGCAACAGAAGCAAGACTAACAGCTTCTCGGTTTTTTTCGCACGTTGGCTAGACTATTGATCCTGTACTCCCTGATCCACTTCTTAATGAAACCAGAAGCTAATTACTAACCCCGGTAGTTTTCTGGTGATTTCTATTAGCTGTACACAGTTGAGACAGGCGCAATGCCCCCTTTACGGCCACTTCTGCCAGCAGCCAATGGGTATCAGAGGAGCTCACCCATAGCCACGCCTTCAACAAAGCAGAAAGCATCGACAGCATGTCAGAGTTTCCGTAAATTCAAAACAAAGGTCGACCACCCGTCATTAGCTTGCAAGCTATCCGCTTAGAGCTAACAGTATTCTAGTGCGGAGGCAGGACGCCTACCTGCAGTGCTTGTATACGGCGTTCAACAATCTGCCAGTACACTCAGACAGAGACACGTCAGATCAGGCAAAGATATGCTCAACTGCAAAAGCAGGAATAGTCGCACGAGGAGCTTATCGGAATGATTAGTGGTATGCCAGAGCAAGATGTTGCCGAGATTGTCCGTCGTCTAAAAGCGGGTATGGATGCCGCATCAATAGTGAGCTTCGTGAGAGATGGAAATCTGCTCATGCAACTCTTATTGACACCAGAGACTACTCGTCGATATGAGTTCCCCTTGGTGGCTGAGATGCCATACCACCTCTACATTGGAGGCAGCCCGTATCTGGACTCCTTGTACCATAGATCCTTGTTTCCTCGTTCAACTAGTGGTAGCGAGGACTCGAGTCTGGAAACCGAAGTTCATGGTGTCAACAAAATTAACCGGCGTGCAGTAGACGATGACATCCATTATACCGCGTACGAGCTGCCGTACCACACTGCGCAAATGGTTGAGCCGTTGATGGAAAAGGTTACCGCGGCACCGTCGATCAAGGTCATCTCCGATGATCACTTGTTCAAAAGACTCATCTCCTCCTACTTTTGTTACCCTTATCTTTGCTGTCCTTTCGTGCACAAGGATCTATTCTTGGAGGATATGGCTGCGGGCTGGACTACCTTTTGCTCATCATTACTGGTCAATGCTATGCTTGCAAATGCTTGTGTATGAACCACGTACCATACTGAATACAGTACAAAGTTGACTTGAGGTAGCAAAGGTGCTCACTATTCCCGGAAGTTCCAAGGTATGGCTACCGGAGTCTCTAACATATAGATTCGTGGCCGAAGCAAGACAATTGTGGGGTTTGGAATCGTTGCCGAGCAGGAGCAAAGTCCCGACCATATAGGTGGCGCTCATACTTAGCTACAATACGACAAACAACGGCTTAGACGAAATCGGCACGGTATATGCGAGACGGGCTTGTGGAATGAGCCATGATCTGGGACTATTTGGACCCGAAGAGTGGGGAACTGGCACAAAGATGGAGAAAGCTCGTCTTTTTATATCTCGGGCGCTCTATTCTTGGCAGGCCATTTTCGACTATTACTTCTTTCGTCCACCATATCTCATCCAACCCCCGCAAACACCGTTGCCGAACCCGAGACTGCATCCTTACTGGTATGGAGAAGTGTATTTCCAGTATCCTCGAGACCCACGGCCGATTTCATTGTCGATTAGATACAGATTTTATTACGAGACAGCTCTACACAAGATCACAAATGATATAGGGCTACTTACATCTGGAAAGCCCTTAGCGCAGATGCTTACTCTCGATGAGCTTGCTGTGATCAAAGGAAAGCTTGACCAATGGAAGGATTTATTTCCCGAGGCATTCCAGCCAGAGAAAGTTGTCTTGCAATCTCACCTGATGTGATATTACGTGGCTTCGCATTGTTTTCCTTGATCTGATACTGCCCCAGTGCGATGTGGTCATTACCAAGAATCCCACTTACAACCATATAATGGCTATAGCGTTAAATCTGTGTGCAGTGTCCAATATTGGCAGATTGTGAAAGCTGAGTGTGGCAAGATCCAAGGCGGCGGCCCTGTGGCCAGCAAGGAGCCCCCAGTCATTCCTCCACAAAGCCCGCGTCATGCTTGAGACAGCCTCTTGCATATACTATGCACGGCACTGTTTTGAGTCTTACGAACCTTTGGATTGCTTTCGCATTGACAATAATTGGCAACACTTTCATTGACGATCTCAAGGCAGGATCAAACATAGATCCTCGTACTCTAGCAGACTGCCGTTCGCTCCTGATTCTCTCAGCACAAGCTGTAGCCAACCAAAGTCACCACTACCATAATGGTACTCTCCTGGCAGCTCAGCTCCAGAGTGCCATGAGTCCTGAGGACTTGCAGTTGATTTGCACACATGTCAAAGTAGCGGGCATGAGCAGATCGTACCAGTCGCTGGTGGCAGAGCACTGTCAAAGCCATTGGCCCCTACCTGGCAAGGTGGCGATTGATGAAGATCTGGAAAATGTGAAACTGAATACGTTGCTGGACGGTCTTGAAGAAATTCAGCTTTAGCGGTGTGATGAGCGAGAAACTTGATGTGCCAGATGGCGAAGGTATGAAGAGCTTGACCATTGCGTGTGGACATTGAGAGTGAGTGTCTTTAGCTCATGCACTTGATGTTATCTCTTAAAAACGGTTGCGGGAACGCTTTTAGATTTGGAACGGTAAACGTTGTGTACACTGCTGGAGAGGTTGCGTGTAGCTAACGAATACGTGTCTTTGACCCTTTTCGAATATCATTGAATCATTGTGAAACTCAGATCTTATCGCCCTTGTTCGATGTTAGGATAGGGGTGGGGAAATGTCGTATGGGCTTAGTCACATGGTGTCCTTGATAGAAGACTCCGCAGGTCAAAAGAAGAACAAATACGTCATCGCTCAACAAACTGGGGACAAAGCCCTGTTAGGCATGCCATACCAATTGGAGAATGAGAAGCGTAGTACTAACTGGCATAGTAGCTCTTTGATCTATAGGGGTAAACAGGTACATTCCTGATGAAGGTGTTTCGCCTTCTCCATAGGTTGAGCTTAGTAACACTAACCGTAATAACTAGGGATTTCACATTTTGTATGAAATGTATCCTAGTCGCAATACAGGTTAGTAAACAGCGCTAACAGCTTCCTTACCTTGGCTCTGGAACTGGGTTTTCTAGCTCTAGCTACGATTACACGATTGCCATCGTGCATGATATTCAGACCGATTCCGTATCTATTGCATTACAAGTCAATATACCCTTGGCTCCTATGTCCTCCTGAACGCCCTTGATCCGTCTTCGTACGTCTTACGTTGGAGATTTATGTTACTATCAGCATACCATATCAAACATAGCTTTGTGTGGCAAATTGAAGACATAGCTCAACTTAGTTGTACCACTCTCATGCGTAACGCATCAAGTTATTTTTTTTTCGGAATATAATGGTAGCCTACGCCCTAAGTAACCTGCTAGAAACAGAAAAGATGCTAGTTGAAGGGACTACCATAGGAAATGTTCCTACTGATCTTACATCAGGCAATGGTTGTGTCGATTCAACGTAGTTCGACAAGGATCGTATGATAACCAACGGCTTCATCTAGCATTATTTTTCGACCAGTCACAAGAAACCACAATAGAGCTATGAAGATTGGTAAAAAGAGACTTGACGTCGTGAAATCTATTAATGCTATTATGGTGTCCCAAGTTCTTCTAGAACTTTTCCATCAAATTCTTTCTCACAGTCCACATTCTTGCTCGCTTGCCGTATATGTACATGGGAATCGAAAAGAGCATACAGCCAAGTTGAATACCTCCAATGGCCAAGAAGGTGTTCTTGCTCCCGCTAGACTCAAGCCAGTGTGGGAAAAAGAGTGAGAAGATGAAACCGTGCAGAACGTCTGAGCAATACGTTAGTGTCTGTCGAAGATCATGCTGTGTAGAACAGTAGAGTGAATGGCCACAACTTACTCTTTGAAAAGTTGAGGGTGACGAGTGCCTCACCCGCATACATGCGATAACTGTCAACAACAAAAGTAATAGCAGTGGTACTAGCCAGCGAGCATCCGAAGCTGATGACGCCGAAGAAAACGGTTGGTACAATCCACTTGTCCCTCTCTTCGGCGCTCCAGCCAAAGCCCATGAGACCAATGACAGTACTGAGGGCAATGGGAACGGCCATGAGAAGACGGAATTCCGGCTCGTACACACCATCATTCTTGCGGGCCATGAACCGCACAACCAGATCAGAAACCCGACCTGCTACTGCTGTTCCGAGGACGCCGCCAACAAACGGCGAAATGTAGACAAGGCCAACTTGAAGCGGAGTAAAGTGGTACGAAGTATCATGATAGATGTGCGCAACTGATTCGGACAAGACAATCAGCCAGCCGACTGCGAGCGCGTACACGAGCGAGGACCAGAGAACCGCGGGGTAGGCAAAGAGAATGAATGGTCGAATAGCTACACGAAGCCATTTGTCTTTGGCAAGACGGCCGTTCCATGGCTTGAGGGAATCGCGATATGATTTTGGCGGCGCGTCACGATAGTAGTCGGTGTAGTGGATAGAATATTGTTCCGAAATCTGATCGCTATCAGGAGCGGAGTCCGAGGTCACATGTCCATCTTGAGCCCGAAAGTCCTGTTTCTCTGGATCTGCGTGAACAGCTGGAGGAACGTGGCCAAAATAGTCGTGACCTTGTGTCTCTTTGGGAGTAGAATGGATGCTGATTTGGGAATGGGGTGTTGGCGGAGCGCTGGCTTGGCGTATGCTTTCGTCGACTACACTCACATTGTGTGTCTTCTCAGCGGGTTCCGGGTCGGCGAATCCGACATGGACATTCTTGTTTCGCTTGACCGGGTGCTCAGTAGGCGACGCTAGTGGTGATGCCATAGGGGAATGGACCTGCGGTGTCGCCGCCACCGAAGCTGTCTGCGGTCCTTGCGGGGCTTCTGCGGCCTTCTTGTGGTGCAAGTTGGGCAGGTGAAAGTGGCTATGGTGTTTACTAGGGCTCTGGCTACGGGCACGAGTGTGCCTTTTGGGTGGTCTCGGTGCTCTGTCCCAGAAAGTCTCGGGCACAAAGAAAAAGATAAGGAAGAAGCAGAAACCGACAATGATGGACGTAATCCAGAAGACCCACCTCCACCCTAGCGATTGTACAATGACGGCGCTGACGAGTGGAATCAAGTTCTTTCCACCGAGTAGCAGCAAAGTGTATATGCCAAGGCGATAGGCTCGCTCATGGAGGAAGAAGATCTCGGCGATGGTGGCACTAGGCAGACATTCGACAGGAGAGACAGCAAAGCCCTGGACAATACGAGCAACGACTAGCGAGGCATAATTGGGCGACAGGGCACACCAGATGGAAGACAGGGTGAAGAGGATGATGGCGCCCAGATAGACGGGTCTCTTTCCGTACAAGATGGCGGTGGGTGAGGCAACAACGCTGCCCAGACCGAGGCCCAACATGTACAGGCCGGTGGTCAGAGCGACCTGTGGTATCGTCACGTCGTACGTCTCTGCCACATCGTTGAAGCCGGCGGCGAGCAAGGGCGTCATGCCCCCTCCGACCATGCAGTAAAAGCCGAGGGAGAGCAGGGCAAGGTCACGTCGTACTTGGTTCCAGTTGAGAGGGTCGTTTGCCGAGTCCTCGGGCTGGGGCTCAAGGATAAAGCGGCCATCCTTTGTGCGCTTCTTCTCTGGGTGGCGTGAGCGCGAGGAGTGGCGGGAGCCGTGTGAGACTGTGCGGAGGGGTTGCGGCCGTTGTGTGGTAGGCAGTGACGAGGTCGAGGTGCGGGCGTGGGCGTGCTGGAGACCCAGTGGCTCATTACGATTGTGGGCGCGCGAAAGGAGGATGACAGAGCCTATAAAATGAATCGTGTCAGATGGATTCAGGCGGACCGAGAATTGCATAGCAGAGGCATACCAGGCACTTCGTCAGTCTCGGGGTCGCTCAATATGCCCAGATTCCATCTACGCCGCGGAGCATCACTTTCATGTGTGGCCACGGCTGTGGAAGTGGCGCCGTTTTCCTCTACCAGCTGCGTCTTGCGCCAGGGCGTAAAGTTGACCATGGCAGGCCAGGATGCACAGGGAGGAGCAAAGGGAGTCTACAGAGCAAGAAGAAGAAGAAGGACCAAAAAAAAGTAACTGGGCAGGCGGACTATATGCTACGGCCCAAGGTTAGTTTACAGAGCACGCGTCTCACGCGGACCTTTTTCCCCACACGCGCACACACATACACATGGATGCAATTCGATGTCGACCCACGGACGGGCATTGGGCTCCAGGATGGTGGGGAGGCGCGATAAGAACAGGTGACGGGCGTGTGGGGAGTCCATGTCCATGTCAGGGAGGGCAGAACAGGCATGTGATCGGATTGCTGAGAGGAAAAGGCGGGTTGGAGAAGGCTAAGAAGGCTAAGGAATGGGGGTATCGCGGCTGGCGTTGCTGGAGGCGGCACAATGACGCACTACCCAGCCTCATGTGATGCCGGATCCGCTTCCCTCGCGCCTCCTATTGGCTGTGGCTACGCTCACCGTCTACATAGTCAGCAGTCAGCCTCCAGCCTCCCTGGTCTGAGGGTCTGAGGGTCTGAGGGTCCAACCACAACCCTCACGGCTTGCTCGACACGCCTAATAACACGGGCGCGCACCGCCACAGCTTGGGAGCATGACTGCCCTACACTACACTACACTACACTACACAAACCCTCCCTCTGCCATTACTTGCCCGGCTCGCCGGAGCCGCGTTTGATTGTCATCACGTGCTCTTCACCCTTCAAGAGCCTGCGCTGCATCCACCACACGGCTCTACACTACACGTCGTCGTTTTACGCTCCACCTCCCAAGCACAACATATCGTCATATCGCATGCCCAAGCATCAGGCCTCATGTCGGTCTTTTGCAGCGGCACTGCACATGCCCTGCTATTACCGCCAATCTTGGCCTCACCGCGCATCTATCAACCTATGTCCATGACTCGCTCGTGATCGTCCCTCCCCATATTTCCCGTCGTTATGGCAGAGTGCGGGCCACCATCTGGTTCTTGCCAACACACTCCACACATACCTACATGTCCAACTATGTCCTTACATATGCATGTTGATACTACTTACATCCATACATACATAGTACACACACACACACACACACACACATACTACACATACATACACTCAACGGCGACTCATGCATACCCACCACCAACCAAGAAACAAGGCCTCGGCGCATATCTCAACGTCTTGGAATACGACATGGTTCGACTGGCGCTCTACATGCTGTCTTCCCTCCACCGAGACCTCACCTTCTGCCATCCCTCCATCTCTTGCTTGCCGCCCCGCTTCTCCAGCCCCAGCCCTCTGTCCACCCACTCCTGACTACCCATCTCGCTTAACCTAGACAGAGCCCGAGCAAATGCAAACCTCTCCTCGTCCCCGCTGAATATGGACGAGTTCTTGAGCATGTCCATGTTCATGCCCAGGTCGTCCATGAGATTGCGCATTACATCTGAAATTGCTCCTTCATCATCCTTGCCACCTGCACGTGACTTTTGCGATGACGGTGAAGACGAAGATCCAGCTAGCTCTCCCGCCTTCTTGGTTGTTGCTACTGCATCGCTGAGCTCGGCTTCATCAAGGAAGAGGGCTGTCAAGGGCACTGCCGTCGTCATCACCAACTTGGCCTAGCACCTTTTTGTTAGCAACACCTTCTGCCTTCTTCCCACATGGTCGCCCTCACTCACCCTGGACTCG